GGGTTCATGTGGGTGCTCTCTCTCTCAAATAAATAAATAAATAAATAAATTTAAAGTTTAGAAGAAAAAAGGATTCAATTATGTATGAAAAAGGCCTAGATACGCTATGCACAAAGATAAGGTACACCCAAAACCTTCCACTTCCTCTCAGAACAACCAGTGCAAAGGACTGTGAAGTGTTACTCACCCTTTCCCTTTTTAATTTTATGACTGGGATTAAGTACTACAGTATTTAAGCAATTTATGGGTTATTACCTGTAGTATCTTGTAAGTTTTATGACAAAGACACTAAGTATTGTATTATTAATTACTTCAGTTGCTGAAAATGGCCCTTTCAACCCAGCCCTGACATTTTGTCAGAAAAGGATGCCTTACATACCAAGACTTACAACTCTCAGTCCGTAAGTTATAAAAACTCAAATGATAGGGCTGCCTGGGTCATTGAGAAGCCAGCTCACTTAAAGGTATGTATGATGACGTTACAAAAAAATAAAGTTACTCACTATGTAGCTATTTACACAAAGCCTGAAATCTATTCTTAATATAGGAGTAAGAAGAAACTAATCTGGAACTGCCATGATCACTGCTACCTTTCTTCATGAAATTTTCATTTTCAAGCCACAGGAACACTTTAGAACACCAAAGTATATTTCCAATAATCATTTTTCTCTGTTTATACCATTATCCCCTCATTTAGCACAAATTCATTTCTGTCATATCAATTTTAAAACAAACTATTGCTACACTAAGAAATTTTAAATGGGGGCACCTAGGTGGCTCAGCAGGTTAAGTGTCCAACTCTTGGTTTCAGTTAAAGTCATGATCTCAGGATCATGGGATCTCGGCACGGAATGTGCTTGTCCCTCTCCCTCTGCTCCTCCCCCAGCTCACATACATGCTTTCTCTCTCTCTCTCTCTCTCACTCGCTCTCTCTCAAATAAATAAACACAAAATCCTAAAAAAAAAAAAAAAAAAGAAATTTTGAATGGTAGAAACCACAAAGATACATACACTTGGAAATCACTTATCTATATAGAAAGAAAATTTTCTGGTTTCAAATTTAGCAATTAATACTAAGAGAATTCCAGTTTAACTGGAACAATCTGAGTCAGGGAAGCAGTTCACTCTCACAAGACCCTTCAATAAGAAAATATAACACCTATAAGTGTGTTATGTTCTTAGTTTATACACTTAAAGGCTAAAAACAAATGGGTCAGAAATCTACAGCATTAGTAAAAATAAGTAGCCTAAGTAACAAATACACATGGTCATACCTAAATCTAGATTTTTTTAAGTTTTTCTTTGTTATTGAGACAGGAGGTTTTTCAGAATAATGCAAACGTAATCTTATTTCAGTCTGACATGTCAGCCATCCAGAATCCAGAGTTTCAACACCATCTGGCAGAGTAAATATGAAGAACAGTAATTATTATACATACTTTTTTGAAACAATCTAGTTCATGTTCACATTTTAATACACACAGTTTATGTATCACTGGAACTTCTCTCCAAAGCAAACACACAGGTAGTCTTAAATTTATCACTCAAAAACTTTTATATGAAGTAGGGGGGAAAAAAGTTCAATGTTAACAAGCAGCCACATTTAACAACTTAAGGAAATTAAAATTTCGTACTGAGTCCATTATCGAGGTAATAGCATCAATTTCTGAAAGAATACCACATTCCTCACTGGCTCTAACCTAGCGGTTGTTCCACGGAGGGCCACTGTCACACTTCCAAAGCGTCATATGAGCTATTCAGCTGAAATTAGTTCTACCACTAAAGCTGGAGCTTGAGACATGAGAAGGTTAAGAACAAAACCGTGAGCCAATTTTTTATTCTCGCCTTTATAAGTTCTAACATAAATGGCAGGATTGTGATAACACTGTGTTAACATTATTTAACTTGAAGTTTCCTGCTAACATATGTCATAAAATGTTCATAAATACCAGAAAGCTGTCAACTGTTTTGGACCTTTTTTATCAACAGGACTTAAAAAAAAACAAGTTTTTCTCTTTAGGTATAACTTTAAAAGTTTCAATAATTATCAAATTTTAAAAATAAAGAGAAACCACCATCCTCTCTTAATTTTAAACTGTTCTCAGAAATGGACAAAGTTGGAGAGATGGTTTTCCATCTTGACAGCTAACTAAAGCTGAGTTTAAGAGAACTACAAAAGAGGAAAGAAATGCCTGCCTTTGTAACTGCATAGATATTAACATACAATAGAGGAATATGATGTCATGCCTTACAGTTAAGGACATGAGAAAGCTACTTCTCCACCCAACAAGCTCTCTAAAACATGTAGCATAAATACCATCTTTTGTAAATAAACAGAACAAGACTCTAAAGCACTAAAACCAAAGCTATGCAAGTATTTTAGACTACCTTATAATGTTATATAAATAATCCCAAATAAAATTAAGGAAAAGAAGCTTAATTCCTATCCAAATATTGCCAAAGCATGTACATTTCTCAGGTGCATAAACATAGGCACCTAGTATCAGCAATTTATCTCTGGTTCACAGTCAGTGCAAGCACACATTCTGCTCACCCCCTTTATATCTTTGACTTCTATAGTATATGATCTAAAATAAAAATGCAGCTCTAGCATGATAACACTATTCTACTGTGAGAATTCCAGTCACCGAAGACAACGTGAACCCTCAGAATAAAGTATTTAGTGAAGCAGAAAAATAAATGAATGCATGACATTTTCAACATACTCAGAAGTAAAAGGATTGTCTATTCTACTCTAAATTAATTGTTAAAGTCTCAGGAGAATTACTGGAACATTTTGCTCAATCTGGATTTTACTGTAAATGCATATACACACAAAATGCACAAACCTAGCCTAAAAGAGTTTAGAATGTTTAGAAACATTAATACTAAACATAAGGGTTAAAAAGTGATGATATGTTAACAGTTAAGTATATTCTTAAATTAAGTATATTAATTCATACACCTGAAGTCACCAGTGAAAAACCAAAAGGATAAAATTTTTTAAAGCTTAAGGATTATACTGGAAACTATTATTTAACAGAATGTACTTGTTTCTTGGATCTAGTCTCTATTTTCAGTGTCATACAGTCATATTTCCCTGTGCTGTTTCTAATGAAATGTAAGGTAACATCTCAATCATATCAGTAAAAATTGTCAAAACTTTAAGTCTCACTTACTGTGGATTCCAAATTGTCCATCGTCAATAATAATTTCACTTTCTAGAATTGAAGGAAAATAAAAAAACCAGTTAAAACTCATGATGTATACAGAATGAACAACTGAGAAATTACCCACATTAAGGATTTTTAAAATATGAAATCTAAAGTTTAAAAGCAGCCCAAAGTGAATAAGCATATTTATTGTAGCCCTCAATCAAGAATTCCCTTTTAAGGAGGTAATCAAACAGTAAAAGTTCTTACAGACTTGGTGATGATTCGTGGTGTTACAAGGAAGGGAAAGAAGACTCCTCAGAGAGGTGCTCTAGAGGCCCTGGAACAAACCTCTACACCCACCAATTTATGAGACAGGCTGCTGGACAACAATATCTCCTGGTTGATTTTTTAAACCAAAGGTCTTGGCACAATTAAAATGCTTATTCTTATGTAGTGCATATTCTGAACTTATCTAAAATGTAATTCTCCTCGAATCCCAACTATTCTATAGCCAGCTACAAGCTTTAGAAACAGCACAAACTTACCTGAATATACAGAGCTGTGAAGAACTACAAAAAGAATAAGTGCTAGCACATTCCCTTCTAACAGAAATTTCAGCTAAATAAGAAAAGCTGGTAAGCCCACCCTCTTCAGTAAAACACTAATGATCTTCCCTGCTACTTCCTTTCCCAGTTTAACTTTAAATATAAGTCTGAAATATTTGTCAAAATAGGTGTGATAGTTCCCAATAAAGATTCTTGGTAGATTTCACGCAGCTCTTAAGTTTAGAGGTTATGTTTCCCAAAAGCATAAAATTAATTTTTAAAAGACCAGAAACAAACATCCTACTTCTCACAATAAGAAAATATATTTAACTGCAAGATGCTTCCAAACGCAAATTATTTTTTAAATGTTTAATACCTAATAATTTCTAACCTCAGTATGGGACTATTGTAATTCTAAAGTACACTACTCATGAAAATTCTAAATATACTATCAAAAATGTAGTAAAACATAAAAAGAAAATCCAATAAAGAGGATGGAATGAAGTATCTGTTTAAACAAGACGTGTCCTTGCCACAGGGTAAAGCAGGATCTCTCACTACTTTCTAATCTAAGATAGCTACTAGCAAGCCATTTAATATCTTTAAATTCTAATTTTCTCTAGAAACTAAAAGATACAGTTCTCAGCACGAGTGAATTTACAGATGAGTCCAAGTGGGTAATTTATGTATATGAAATGAACTTCAAATTTTAATCTCCGTATGGAAAAGGACATTTAAAAATACTTGTATGAAGAGAAATGCCATTTTTTGGCACAAGAAAACTGAATGATGTTTTAGGGGAAAAAAAAAAAACAAAAACAAGAACAAAATAAAACCAACTATCTGAGTATCAATTTTAACACAGCCAGCAGGTATTTAAGTAAATCAGGAAGAAAATATGTATGCTACAACCAAGAAATGTGAATGCATTCATACAAGTTTAATCAAGTATTTACTAGTTAAAAAAAACCCACACAGAATAAATAGGTTAACTTATTCTATTGCTCTTACTAAATTCAAAGTTAAATATTTAAGAATCTTTGTTTTGGATTAATTTTTTCCTCAAATGTTCTCTAAGCTCTCTGAGCAAGTAATCAAATAAAGCTGTGGATGCTCAGTCAAGAATAATGCTATTTTTACAAACTTTGTTAACTACTCCAAATGAAAATAAATATTCCACAATACATTAATCTAATCCCCCCAAATAAAAATAACTTGGCAAGCATTTCTAACAAAGTTTATGAAGAAAGGCAATTAAGAACTGTTTAGTTTTAAAAGATCCATGATATGCTAAGTGAAATTTGCAGTACTGACAATGCATTGACCTTAAACTTTAGAATAAAAATTTATTAAATCCCACTAAGCCATTGTGCAGCATATTAGTAACTTTATGCATATGCCTCAAACAGATGCAGTTAATGCCCATACCTAAAGGGGTTATTGATCGTGGTTGTAGATGAGTCTCCCACTTGTGAACTATGACTTGGCATGGACCACCGATAGTCTGCAATTTAAAAGTTAAACGTCTGCAATAATTTCTTATATCTTATTTTCTACCCATGACTCCATTAGATGTTTGTGGCCTAAATCTTATACTAAATATGAAACCAAAAGATTCATCTTGTTATTTATCAATATTATATGTCAAAAATCAGGAATGTACCATCTCACAAAACATTATGAGTGCTGGAAGAAAAGGACAGTGAGGCAGTAAACAGAGAAAAAGGAGATGAAACTGGCAACATAAAACCATCTTAAACCCTTTCTTAAATCTGCCTACGATACTCCAAATTGTTTTAAAGAAATTTTCGTATTTAGCTGATGTTCTGTTCCCATAAAAGTTAACACCAAATATACTTTATGCTTGGTTGTCAGCGGTCAATGAGGTATTATAACTGAATAAAGTCATCTCAAATAACTCTCCAAGTGTTTGGGAAAAGCCTATACTCTATGATAGTAGGAATAGTAGGTACAAGTACTTCAAGATCAATGATCACAAGGAACTAGAGGGCATAACAAAGTTCTTTATTATAGTAAGTAAATAACAGGAAGAACATCAGATTTCTTGTATCATAGTAACCAGTGTTTCTAAAACGCACAGGAAAACCCTAAAAGAAAGTACATGTGCATGAGTAAATTTGAAGAATAAGTCTGACAAAAAGGGAACTACAAGCTAGTCTTACAGTTCATAAACTCATACATACTTCTAATAGTCTTCTGTTATCAAGTCCTCTTACTAAAAGGGAAAATAAAGCTTTATGTGTTAACATACAGTTCATAAACTCATACAGTGTGAAAACTTCTAATATTGTCTTCTGTTATCAAGTTCTCTTACTAAAAGGGAAAATAAAGCTTTCTATGTTAACATCTACAGCAATTTAAAAACAAAAATGAACTATCAACTAAGATTCCCTATGTACACCTAAAGGACTAACTACTAACTAAATGCTTCCTAATTTTCTTTTAATTATTAAAAAAAAAATTGACTAACTTATGTGCCGAAACAAAACCGTTAAATAGACATTTTAGAAGCAAAATTTCAACGGTAACCTTACAAGGTATTTTACATTTCTCTTCACATCTTCAGAAGACATTTTAATAAAATACAAAAAAGCAAAAAGAAAACACAAAAATCATTCATTATCACACCACTTAGGGATAATCACTATTGATATTTTCATACATAATCTTCAAAAGCCCTTTTCTAGGCATATATTACATACTCTTAAAAAGCAGAGAACATATAAGCTTCTCTCTATATATTGTGTACACCTTTAGATGGTATTAAACACTCTTCTGTATCATTTTACAGGTTTCAATATTGATTAATAATAAATGTGCCAAATGATAATAAACGAGTATGAGACAAATTAGGCACATTAAGTAATTAAATGCAAGAGATATTCCGCTACTTAAAAATAACCAGAGGTTGAAATCTTTTTTAAAACTTGCAAACTTTTGAACTTTGAAAACTAAAATAGCATTAGATATTCATTCAAATCATATAGCAAATGGGATAAGATAGCAAATCCTCATTTTCTCTAGCTGAATACCTCCTTGTTTTAAGGGTTCAACTTATGAGTTGGCAGACTGGGCAGATGTTTTTAAAAAATTTTTTTTACTGTGAAACCGCTCATCTTAAATATAATGAATTTCATTTCCTTTACACTAAAAAAAAAGGGAGATACATTTAATCCTACATCTGCTAGATGTTTTTTACTACGACTTTCCCGTCACATTTTTTTGAATTTGTTTCTTAAACATCAAACTTTCTGATCCTCAAAAGATGCAAATATATACATTAAGAAAGGAACAATGTTTCTTAGCAACAGAGTAGCCAGAAAGATCTAACCTATACCCTTCCCCCATTCCTCTCATGTCCCCTGCACACCTGCCTTCCCCCAAAAATTTCCTCTTTACATTCTTATAGAAGTTACTAACCAAAGGTGACTTCAAAGGGTGCCAGGAACATACTATTAAATAGCAGCAGGGATAAGAAGTGGATAGAAGAACGGAGAGTTTGTTTCTGTTTTTGTATCAATTCAGTGTCAGGGGAACTTTACAAAGTGTTGACTGCAATATCTACATCTAATCATGTCAGAATAGCCTTGTGGATAAAATATTTGGTAGAAAACATATTTTAATAATACTTTAATAACTCCACCCTCATCTGCTTTAGTAGCAAACCCACTACTCACAGCATAAAATAACCTAGGCTTGAACAGAATGGAGCGTTTGAGGAGCAATCCAAAGAGCTGATTCAAAGGATGACTTCTAATTGGGTATACAAGCGTTTACACTACAAATCCATGTTTGTTGGTACAACAAAGAGTTATAATATAGAAAAAAAATCTACCAAGTTTTAAAATACAGCGAACTTTCAAAATTATACTACTATATTAAACTTTAGAAGGTAATCTTCAATTTTAGCTTACTGAACGTCTTAAATATTTAAGCCCTGAGCACTAGGAAATTAAAAATCTCAGTAATGACTCCAAAACATGCAATCCTTTTTAATATGCTAAATGTAATAAACTCATTCATTCTTCAAGATCTTAGAAAAAAGAACAGTTCCATTCTATAAAAGGCTGCCATAATTTTAAGCACTCTGGAGTCAAGTGCAAGGTGGATCTTTGAAGAAAAAAGTAACATCACCAGTCCAAGACATTATTCCATTAATAGTACTGATAGAGTTGTTTCACAATTTAACATATATTAAATCAGATGATTGTTGAAATGTTTCAAAACAAGCATATTAATAAAAATACAAAATAATCTATTTCTGCAAAGAAAGAAAAGCATAATGACTGCTTTCTTAAACAATGACCGACATTACTCAGCTACATCAAGCACCGAAACAATATGTAGACTGAGGTTTTTGGTCTGTTTTGTTTTGAACAAACAACGTAGGAAAATTATCAACTAGTCATGTAGTATCACTGCTTTCAAATATCATGAAAAATGTAACTTCCAAAATTTTACTGTTGTCTTTCCCCATTTTGGGGGGAAAAAAAGGTACATGTAAAAGGGGCTCTGAGGAATTTTTATCTGTGATGGCAAGGCCAGACCAACAGTCATTTAAAAATCATGATTTTTAATAAGACTAATAAGAAAAATGGTCACTTATGAATAAGTATGAGGTGAAGAAAGCTAGGCAGACAGACATTTGTGAGATGGTTCAAGTTTGAGATTAACAGCTGAGGGTATTTAGCAACCAGAAGAATTTTATTAAGAAAACCGCTACACGAAGTAAGATACCTGGGCTATTCTGAAAATAAACAATGATGTGCGCCTATCACAGATGATTGATTCTTTTGTTAAAGGATTTAAAGCAAAAATCAAGGGAGATTAAGAACAAAGTAAGGGTTTATAACAAATCTAATTATGAGTGAATGTGAACACCTATGAAAATAAGAAACAGAGTAAGTTACCGGAAAATAAAAAGCTATTTCCATTGAAATGAAGGGGAAATCACAGACAACATTATTACAAATTGGCTAACATTTCAGTAACCTGATACTGGCCACAAGTATAGAAGGATGGAAATGGATTAAAAAAAAGTTTTAATTGGGGGCGCCTGGGTGGCTCAGTCGTTAAGCGTCTGCCTTCTGCTCAGGTCATGAACCCAGGGTCCTGGAATCGAGCCCCGCATCGGGTTCCCTGCTCCGCTGGAAGCCTGCTTCTCCCTCTCCCACTCCCCCTGTTGTGTTCCCTCTCTCACTGTGTCTCTCTCTGTCAAATAAATAAATAAAATCTTTAAAAAAAAAAGTTTTAATTGATGTTCACTGAAAAATTATTTCTGGTGAAGATGTGAAATTAAATGGGCCATCTGCAGATTCCCACCTGTGTTTTCATTCCAAGAATATCTACAACCTTTGTTTGCTATGTTCAAGACAGTATTTTGATTTGTCACCTGTGAAATTATTTTAAAATTCAACGTATTAACACCTCATTCTAATTCTACAAAGTAGAAGACAATAGGTAGCTATGAAAAGTTGAGAGAAAAGGGACTTCAAGACTCTTCTAAGCTAAAAAGAATATGCCAGAAAGAGCAAAAACGGAGGAGAAAATATGAATGGTAAAATTTTATTTATTTGCAATAAAATTTTAGCAATGGAAGGGACCTAAGAAATCTATGGTCCAAGCCCTTCATTTTATAGATAAGAAAACTGAAATATGAAGGTCAAGTGACAAGACCGCAAGGATTTTTAGCTTAGGCTCTACAAATGCTTGGGTAGACTACCTCAGCAAAATTAATCTTATTACTCATTTCAGCTTTTCAATGTTTCATAATTACTTTGCTTTCCCATCATTCTTTATATTCATAAAATATATGTTCCAATAATTTACATTTTACAATTTAAGATTCTCTGCACATTAGTTTTATCATTTGACAATGCACAACTGAGACAAAGTTTCATAATTATTTCTATTTAAAATTATGTTTCATTTAAAGAGCGCCACCAACTTTTAAAAGAAAAGTGTCACTTTAAGCTGGCATGTGGAAAAAAAAAAAACCTCTAGCTATATGCATGGGATTTTATGTAGCTATTTACTCTAGTCCATGAAAAACATACTTACCATGGCAGCCCCTGCATCACACGGTACATGTGTACACGATACAGAGCACCTACTTAAAGAAACACACTCACCAACACATACTGTAAACTTTTGCAAGTATTACAAGGGGAAAAACTTGTTTTTTACTGTAAGCAGACTTCTTGCCAATTTTTTCAGAAAGGCAGTTTGGACTGATTTGCTGCTTTTGGTTACATTTTCAATGAAGAGGGAAAATACTGTAGGTTGGCTTAATTTGATCTACGTTGACAATAGTCTTACTTTAGAAGACTATGCCCAAAGGACGCATTTTGATTTTTCTTGTCCAAATGCCCCTTTAAGTAAAATTTAGTTGATTTCACATATTACAAATTTCACATACCAGGATCCTCAAATAAACTTTCAATGTCGAGTGCTATGACCTACTTATCACTGCACAGCTGTTCAATTTAAACTGAAAAACTTTGCCACAATGCATAACCCTTATGCCAAATAAATGATCTTAAGTCATTAAAATGAGACTATTGTCAAGATAAGCCAACACGACGATCAACCATAATGTAATTTTAATTACTGAGTATTTACAATATATTCTTGGAATAAGAAACGTAATAGGTGCAAAAGACAGCTGAAGTGGCTTTGTCAGTTTTTTCTTTTCTATAATGGTGGCTAAGAGAATGAGGTAACAGCGGCTGCTTGCATTTTTCACATGTAACAAGTATTCAATGATCCCAAAGGGAAATAAAATTTTAAAACGGTTTAATCCATGTTCTGCTTCCTAGACTCCTGCCTAAACCCCTGCTCACATGCAGCCTAAGTGTGCTCAAAGATAAAAATCTGAAGGAAAAGAATCCTTTCAGGAACTAAGCATCTTTAAAATAAGAGGGAAAGAATCAACTTTTTTTCTTTTCTAAATATGAAAACAATCCCAAAATAATAAATCATTGTGAGCAAGCAGATTAGATTTTACAGATACTCCAAAGGCTTTCAGAAAAGATCCTAATCTATCAACACCATGGTTGAAAAAAATCTAAGAGGAATGACTTTCAGTTTTGATAGGAGTTAAAACAAATGCAGCCACTAAGAGATGGCTGTTGTGAAATAATTTTTTAAAATAATTACTCACTTAAAGCTGGCTATATACTCCTTCAAATGTATTTATACCACACAAGGATTAAAAAATGAAACAAGAAGAAAACCCTTTTAACTGGTTACTAACAGGTTTACAAAAGTTACAGAAAAAGCACAGCTACTGAGAACACTCATTTATCATTAAAACCAATTTCATAACAAGAATACTGCAGAGTATACTTACTATTGGTCTTTTAAAAATTCCACTGCAGACATCGTCTGCCTCTGAAGTGGCTACTTGCTTGCTTTTTAGCACTAAAATATTATTAATCTAGAGTTCTGTTTTCCTTATTTGATCAAAACAAACTCTTATTACTTTCAATGTTTGCAAACTGAAATTAGTTGCTTTTTAAAAGAAGTAAGTTTGTTAAAGAAACTGGAAACTAGATAAAGAAAACATACCTTTGGTTCTAAAAAGCACCCTTTGAAGTAGCGATACTGAACTGATACTCCTCTAGTGAGTACAATGGTTGCTTTCCATAACATGCTGTGAAGAAAAAGAGCAGAAGCATTAATATCAAATTAAAATGCATAAAGACTTCATAATTCATAAGACCCCTCCAGCTAGGTCTGTGACCAATACCACTTATTTATTCCTACACAAAATTATACTCCAGGCCTACCCTGCACCAGGCACTGGGAACACAGTGATGAACAAGGCAGAAAGAGCCCTATCTTTAAGCAGATTGCTTTCTTGTGAGGGTAGACAAACAAATCACCAAACATACATAGCAAGGGCTATTTGACCTTTCTGATGTGACAGGAAGTTTTGAAAGAGAGACCTCAATGAGGAAGAACAGTCTGCGAGTAGTCCTACACAATGAGAAGGAACCAGCCATACAAAGACAAGAAGTATTCCAAACAGAAAAGGTAGCACGAAGGTGGAAGCGACAGTCAGAATCTTCTCTGACTTCCCACTTAGAGATGTTACAGGGCTGCTAAGAGGCTTTGGGGCTGAGGCAGATGATCTATACTCATGTTCCCAACTGTCCCTTATCCTGACTGTCCTGCCCAGCCTCTGGCTATTCCCTTCGCCAAGCAATTGGGATCCGTATCGTACTTGTTTCAACTCAGTGTCTTCCTCTGACCTATGCTATGCCAACACAGTCTACCACTACTCTAAAGCTTTGACTCAACAGTGAAAGCAGTCACTACAACTCATGATTATAAATGATTTTTATTACCTTCCAATCATAGACCAGTGCTATCCAAAGTGTGATCCAAGGACCATCAATATCACTGTGGAGTTTGTTAGAAATCCAAATTTTCAGGCCACACCTAGACCTACTGAATTAGAAACTCTGGGGGGGAGAGTCCAGCAATCTGTAATTTAACAAGCCTCCAGGTGACTCTGATGATGAACACTTCAGTTTGAGAGGCACTGTCACAGACCATTACCCAAACATTAATTCAGCATGAATAGTTTAGTGAATAAACAGCAGCTCCAAATGTTCTTCCCCGATACCAGATGGCTAGCACTGCTTCGCACCTGGCTCTGCCAAGGCAGGCTTTAGGGCATTATCCCCACTCGGACTCAATCCTGGGTTCCTAACAAAATATCCACAACCACCTGTCACCCATGGTCAACAATCAGATTAATCTGGTAGTAATAAAATACATATGCCCTGGCTCCACCCTGAGAGACTCTGATTTCAGAGGTCTGGGTGGAGCCCCGTCATGTGGAGTTTGATAAAACCTCACAGGGTAGGTGAAGATAGAAGGCTAGTTGAGGGCCACTGCTATAAAACAAGAACGGCAAATGCTTGGCACATGCGCCCACACTACTTTTCCCTGATAAGCCTCAGAATCCTTCTCAACACAGCATTCCAGGCAGACGTATCTACCAACTCTGAGGTGCAATTATTTCCCATCTCTGCTACAAAAAAATGGCAAATTTTTAGCACTATTTCATTCATAAATCAGTCAGTCAGAGTATGTGAAGCCAGCGCCAGATGTGTAGAGTAGAATTAGCGGGAAGCTCTGAAAAATGTGCTGGGGCCCCTCTCTCATGCCTACTTCCTCATTCCCCAGGGGTAGGATCTAGACATGTGTATTTTTTAAAGCCCTCACAAGTGAGTCTAACGTGTGCCCCTGGTTAAGAACTGCTGAATGAAAAGCGATGGAGACAGCAAAGCAATGAGTTTTTTTATTCCATTTCCCTAAGTAAATGTTGCAAAGTTAAAAATGAACTGGAACTGGGGTGCCTGGGTGGCTCAGTCGGTTAAGCGGCTGCCTTCGGCTCAGGTCATGATCCCAAGGTCCTGGGATCGAGCCCCAGATCTTGCTCCCTGCTCAGCGGGAAGCCTGCTTCTCCCTCTCCCACTCCCCCTGCTTGTGTTCTCTCTCTCGCTGTCTCTCTCTGTCAAATAAATAAAATCTTAAAAAAAAAAAAAAATGAACCAGAACTGTTCAGTGATATAAAAAATGAACATAATCTGGGCGCCTGGGTGGCTCAGTTGGTTAAGCGACTGCCTTCGGCTCAGGTCATGATCCTGGAGTCCCGGGATCGAGTCCCACATCAGGCTCCCTGCTCGGCGGGGAGTGTGCTTCTCCCTCTGACCCTCCTCCCTCTCATGCTCTCTGTCTCTCATTCTCTCTCTCTCTCAAATAAATAATAAAATCTTTAAAAAAAAAAAAATGAACATAATCTGATGAAATTCAAGAAGTCAGGAAAGAGGGGCAATGAGGCTCAGTGCACCTGCCTGATTCTGAATGACCTCATATCCTCCCCCAAAATACCATAAAATCTACAAGAGCAAATAAAACCACAAGTGACCCACATTTTCTGCATTATTAAGAAACAATACTATGACTTTCAAATTATCTGTAAGTTGAAAAAAAAAATCCTAACAGCGCTCTTGTCACTACAAACCTATAGCTATGGAGAAGCTTGAGAGACTCTGAAAAAGAGCTTTGTACAAAGGGCTTAGATGCGCAACACTGAAATCCAAATAAACACAATTCTAAAACACAAGAATGGTGTTCAAAGCAAATGCTTTTTGTATCCTCTTGTATCATCTACTTCCTTTCTCCATGTGAAACACTGTTTATCTGCCATATATGAATCAATTACATTTCAATGTGCATCAGCAAGGTAAAGTGGCTGGTCCCTTCAAGTTACGTAGTTAAGTATTATCTCATCTGTTCACATAACTTTGACCAGGTTGGCTGAAATGGACTTAAGACATGTGACAGGGCAGCTCAAGCGTTCAGGGCAAGGTGTGTTTTAGGAACAAGTTCAGAAAGATATACGGTTTTACTTCAGACTGATCTGAAAATGGAAGAAAAAATAGCCACTTGAAGGGAATAAACATTTCGTTCCTCTGTGATTCCAATATTATTTACCAATTAAACTTTACTTATAAAAACAGCTGAGAATTGGCTGAGAAAAAGTGTCACACTAATGACAAATAGGAAAAGGGTGTTTTATAGATTTTTTTTTTTTAAGATTTTATTCATTTATATTGTCAGAGAAAGTGCGAGTGCACAAGGAGGGGGAGCACAGGCAGAGGGAGAAGCAGGCTCCCCGCTGAGCAAGGAGCCCCATGGGGGACTGGATCCCAGGACCCTGGGATCATGACCTGCACAAAACCCAGGCACTTAACTGACTGAGCCACCCAGGCGCCCCTGTTTTTCTTTTCCTTAATTTGCATTATGGTACTGTATTGTTACTTTCTTTTGCTTTGCCATCAGTGCTCCTCAAGCTATCTGTTGTGAAGGACAAGTTTTTGTTTGTCCTGTAACCAATAATTCTATGTATCCAGTGCAACAGAGATGAGTCCACAAGGACATGCATGAATGTCCCAGCAATGTCAAAGTGCTATAAACATTTCTAAATGATTGCTCTTAATTTCTAGATTTCTCACATAATGCACTGATTATTAGAAAAACTAAAGTTTTTTTTTCTCTAGCAGTGGCCCACAGGCCACATTTTCAGTAGCACTGCTCTACATGGAAAACAATTTGAGCTTAATAATCATGTAATCTGGTGTTTCTCCCTAGGGCCACTGCATGTATTTGTATACTGTTTAAGATCGCCTCTCTCCTTACCTCCCACACATAATCTTTACAACCCATAACGCTTCCAAATATCACTAAGTGAAGAAGTACCATCTTCGTCAATATTCACTGATTCTGTCCTAACCCTTTTACCATGCAGATGAGGTAACCCAGGCCTAGAGAAATTAGATCTGTCCAAGATTGCAGTTAACTGCAGAACTGAAACCAGCACCCAGGCCCTTCTTTCCCCACTGCAATGCACCAATACACCCATGCTAACTTTAGTGCTGTATTTAATGTCGGCTGCAAACTCATTTCAGAACATTAACTAAAATACCTGTTCCACTTCTCTGCTACAGAAAATTATTTTATAGGCCAAAGCAAAAATCAGATCTTTTATCAAGAATATGTACTGAGAGGGGTTCAGTTGATTAAGCATCTGCTTTCGGCTCAGGTCATGATCCTGGGGTCCTGAGATCGAGCCCCACATCGGGCTCCCTATTCAGTGGGGAGTCTGCTTCTCCTTCTCCCTTTGCCCTTGCCCCACCACCACTGGTGTGCTCTCTCTCTTGATCTCTCTCTCAAATAAATAAATAAAATCTTAAAAAAAAAAAAAGAAATAGCAATATAAGCCTGTTATTTAGAAATATGGTGGTAACTACCAAAAGAACCAGCCGAAAATTGAAAATGGTTGAAGTGGGAAATTGAGAAACAGAAACTTTTTTTTTTTACAACCAACCTTATACAACTACTTCACTCTATGCACATGCAAGAACGGTCATAAAAATTAAAACTAAAAGAGAAAAAATATATGAAGGTATCTTAGAAACCCCCCAAGTTTCTAATCTGGATGTCACAATTATTCTGTAACCTGTTATTTCCCCTCTTACCTTTCACCACCTGTCTCATTTTCTGGAAGAAGAGCCACAGCATTCTGAGGACTCCAATTTCCCAAAGCATCACAGCTTCCACATATGGCAAAAACTTCTCCTAAAGAACAGAACAAGCAGTTATAGTGGGCTAAGCAGGAAAGTTTCAAATTTTAGTTCTAGGAAGCACGAAAAGAGCAGTCAGTTCCACTAGGACCTGGATGCAGTCACCTTTAGCAGAGATGGGAGGAGCCTCCCTGGAGACATGCGTCAGACCCAGGCACCGCACCAACACCTGCATTCTTAACTTGACCTACCTCTACAGAACCAAAACCAAAGAAAAGGAGGGATGTATAGAGGTGAACTATTCTTCATTTGTTCAACCACTTAACTGAGCCAATAAATAAGCACCAAGAAGACAAAGTGATCATGCCACAGTTCCTGCCTTCAAGGCAGCTTCCGATTTATTTATTTATTTTTTTTAAATGTTTTTTTTAAAGACACAGCGAGAGAGGGAACACAAGCAGGGGGAGTGGGAGAGAGAGAAGCAGGCCTCCCGCGGAGCAGGGAGCCCGATGCGGGGCTAGATCCCAGGACCCTGGGACCATGACCCGAGCCAAAGGCAGACGCTTAACGACTGAGCCACTCAGGCGCCCCAAGGCAGTTTCCGATTTAAAAAGGCACACACTAAATGCACATAAGTATTCTAGAGAAACAGTAACCATTATTTTCCAGGAACTCAAACAGTGGCTATTAACAAGCTAAAGATTAAGAAAATTATCAATGGGGACAACAACAATAACAAAAAAAATCCTCAAAACAAAGACTTACACAGTGAAAAATCTAGTTTTCCTTACTAAAATAATGACTATTGTTTTACCTGAACACTTCTCATCAACAGACAAATGAAAATATAGCTGTCACCTATATTTGCTGAATTACATACATTCAGTAAAAGTCTACAACTTCAAGGTGCCTGGGTGGTTCAGTCAGTTGAGCGTCCGACTCTTGGTTTCAGCTTGGGTCATGATCTTGGGTCGTGGGATCGAGCCCTGTGTTGGGCTCCACACTGAGTGGGGAGTCTGCTTGAGATTCTCTCTCGCCCTCTCCCTCTGGCACCCCTGCCACTCCTGCTTGCACATGCTCTCTCTAAAGAGAGAATAAATCTTTAAAAAAATTATTGGATATAAGTAGAGAAGACTTTGACTTACATAGCAATACATTCTGAATTACTGTAATTAAAATTCATAAAGAAAAGATAATGAACTGAGGCCAAGTGAACAAAGTTTAAGACAAACTCCTCCACATTCTGAGTGGCTTTAAGCACTACTCTAGTAAAGCCAGAATTGTAGGTGGCTTTAACCACCTGCGTGAGCATTCTATAAACTTGGACTGTCTAAAACTTAACTAAAATTTCAACTGCGATAATCACTCAGGAGTTTTTGGGGTTCTAAATACATGTTTGTCAAGCACAGAGTGGTTACATATAGAGATTTCGTATCAAAATATTCACCAATTCTTTTAGAGTAACCAGATTTTGTTTTGTAATTAACTTAGGTTATCACCACCTTCTCTGATTAAAAAGAAAGATAAACGCTGTTGCTAAATATAAATATTCATTCCCAAAGTCATACATGTTGCTGTGTACATGGTCCTCTCTTACATTCACATCCACCACTATCTTCCCTCTAGTCCTTGAGAATAAGACCTCATCAAGCTCACCCTTCTAGGGATAATTCTGTGGTTGGTCCCTATGCCTGACATGGCCAGCTCCTTCTAACTTAAAGTGCCTGTGTACAATTCCCTGAAAGGATATGACACCACTCTGCAGTCTTCTCTCCACAGAGAAGGCCATACACTGGACTAAGGTGAGCTCTTGACCCAAGTGAGCCAACCTATCAGCCGCTAGCAATCTTCAATCTGCAGAATCCTGCCCAGAGATGGGAGCTCTCTACCAGATCATCTTGGCGAAGAATTTAACTTGGACAAACATACACTCTGTCAACTGCTCTTGATGTGGGAAACAAAGGCAGAAGAAAAATTATTAAATTTCCTTACTACGTACAGCCCACTGACAAGTCCTTGAAAGAGGCAGAGTGACATTCCTCTAGGGATTCAGCTGCCTCGATGTTGATACTTTGCTAAGGGCAAAAGGCAATCTTAGCCTAACCTTATCCGGCCCCTCCAGGATCCTGTAAGTCTACTTTAACATATAAAAATTCCTTTGGAAACTTCCTTTATCTCTAACCCCCCCCCCCAGATATGTGTTGGTAATCATCCCCCAAGCATATGGCACACAAATATACATCTGAAGGGTCTCATGACTAAGGTTTTATTAGGCGGTAATAAATTACCTTTTCCCAACAATAGCTAGCCCCCTCAAAGTCCTGGAAACCTTGCTTCCAAAATTCCTTAGAGACTTATGCTATCCCTAACCCCCTCCCAACTTGAAAGTATATAATGGGCCACTCCTCATGACCCCGATGCAGCTCTTTCTGCCGAAGGGTCCTGTCCCTGTGCTTTAATAAAACCACCTTTTTGCACCAAAGACATCTCAAGAATTCTTTCTTGGCCATCAGCTTTGAACCCTAATGACGTCTTTCCTACATCACTCTGATGGCTGCTAGACCAAAGATGCTGAATATACAGAGTGAATCATTTATTCATTCTTTGAACACATATTTACCCCTATTCTGAGCCAGGCACTGTGTTAGATGCATGCACTCAGCATGACAAGACAAAGTCACATTTTCACAGAGCTTACAATCTATCCATAAACAAAATTACTCAAATAATTCCATAAAATCTGTAAGGTACTACGAAAAGTCCTGGAACCCTGAATTTCACAGGGATCCTAACCTAGCTAAATGTGGGGTTGGCATTAAGGAGAATTAAAGGGGAGAAGGGAGGCCACAGATCTAGACAGAGGAAACAATCTGAGAAAGGCCCAAAAGAGGGAAAGAATGTAACAGATTTGAGGAACTGGCCAGTATAGTGAGTATATTAAATAAGGAGATACATACCCCAGGCGTGATACTATTTTGATATGCTATTTACCCTAAAATTACTTCACACTGCTTTAGTAGACAGCAAAACATACAATAAGCCAAAAAATTTACAAATAGAGAACAAAATTATCTAACCAAATAGTTCACCAACTTCTTGCACTAGCAAAATTTCCCTCATTTTCATGGTTAGTCCAACTATCTTCATCCTGTGCAAAATTAAATAAATTCACAGCTTTCTTGGAAAATATGAGACTAAGACATTTACTATTTGGGGAAGTATGGTTTTTTTTCTTTTCTTTTTTTTTTTTTTTAAGATTTTATTTATTTGACAGAGAGAGAGAGACAGTGAGAGAGGGAACACAAGCAGGGGGAGTGGGAGAGGGAGAAGCAGGCCTCCCACCGAGCAGGGAGCCCGATGCGGGGCTCGATCCCAGGACCCTGGGATCATGACCTGAGCCGAAGGCGGACGTTTAACGACTGAGCCACCCAGGCGCCCCCTTAAGTATACTATACTCCAAGCACATTTCTGAAAAATAAGGTAAGTTCTAAAGATAGTTTCATCTAAAAATTAGTCCTATTGTAATAACAAACTGCATATTTAAGATAATCAAGATAAAAAAATACTCATGTAAAATTTTGTTTCAAAGTAAAATTTTACAATACCTGGTAAAAGAGTTCCTCTTATTTCAAAAGTAACCTGAGAAGGTGTCATTCTGATGGATTTATTTTACAATGTTGAGCTAGGGAGAAAAAGAGAAGATGTCATTTAAAATATATAAAAATCTTAGCTCTAAATAGCTACCACCAAGAAACAAATTAAAAAACAAAACAAAAACCAAAAATAAATAAATCAGAACTGTGAACAAAAGATTCCAGAAAACTTATATGTAAAGGCTGAATGATTTAGGAAGTACCTAGCAATTTTTAAAGCATAATGTTAAGACCTTTTCTGTGTGTAGGGACCAGAAAAATTGCAAAACAAGTGTCCAAACTTTTTTTTTTTTTTTTAAGGATTCAAGATTCTGTTACAAACTTTCTCTTCTGATAAGCAGCTGTTCTGAACTCAATCTATCTTTCCCGACCAGGCTCATGTTATGACGGAGGAAAAAAAGCAAAACAAAAACAAAGCACAACTACAGACAGAAAAAAACTTGGCTCAAGAGAGAATTTCTACTGCAATAAGGTTTCAACTTTAATAACAAGGAAACAACTGAAGAACTTAAGTACCATTCACTGAAACAAACTAGTTATGTTCTGCAACAAGATGCAGATTCTGCTTCTAAGTAATGTAACTAATAACTTAAAAAAAAAAAACACAACCCTCCCCCATAAACCACTCTTCAGATTTTCTCTGGACTCTTATTACTCTAGTTCTGTGGACTCAAATTAAAGTCTCAACTCTGTGCTCTATTACCAAACCCTATTGATTCTAATTGATCCTACATATAGGCCTTTCTTTCTACGGTCTGAACTTCATTCAAAATCCTAAGCATTCTAACCTGGATTGGATTCTGCATTCTTGGATTCTGTCTTCCCAATAATACATTTTTTGGATTTGTCTTTGTATTCTGTCTTCCCAATAATACATTTTATGTCAGTTAAAATATTCTTCCTCATGTCCCTGACTAGGAATTACTTCGATTACTTACAGAAATCTAAACCCCTAATCCTTGATGTCCTATCCACATTTTCTCTCTAGCTGATTTTTCATTTCTTGGTTGTTTTTCCCAGCCAAACCAATCTGTTTACCACCCCCTAATTTAAGTACCTGAGGAAAGATAACAGATTTTTAAAAATATATACAGTATCAATTCTAAAGGAGGCTATATAACTTATATATAGAAAGAACACACACTCTACACAAGGGCAGATCATTCTACATAACTTCTCCAAACCCTCCCCAAAATTTTGTGCCCCAATTCACCAGTATTCCTAAAATAATTCCAATGTCTTTACTCTGCATCATTTCATTAGTTTACCAGCTTAAAGGTTATTTGTATTTATACATTATTTTAAAAATCATAAAGTAATTTTCATAGCTATTCATTCTTCTATTTCCCCTTTGCTCCTTTTCCCACCCCATGAACGTATACCCAACTCTGCAATGACCATTCAATGAACACTGCTGCTCAAGTAACTACACTTCCAAGCCAAGGTAGATCTATAGCAAGCAGTTCTCACTGGGGACAATTCTGCCCTCCAAGGGGTACTTGGCAATGTCAGGAGACATTTTTGGTTGTCCCAACTGGGAGTGATACTGCTGGCATCCAGTGGCTAGAGGCCAAAGTGCTGTTAAACACCATGCAATGCACAGAATAGCTCTCCACAAGTAACTGTCCACCTCCAAATAACAATAGGGCGGAGGCTGAGAAACCTGATCCACAGGGGGCTGCTATGAGGGTCAAAATTCCAGACTCACTGTTAGCTACAAACTATTTATCATCCCACTTACATCAATGATAAAATGTAAATACTGAATATTCGTATTAAGCAAGACCACCGGTCAATGTGGTTTCATATCACCTTCATACAGAATTCCCTATTTGATAACTCTACCATTTCAGTTAGAAAACCCAAGACCGTGCACTAGAGAAAATCCTGTCCTTGATCAAAATAATTTGTGTCTAAGAACAAACACAATCTATTTAAAGCATATACATTCAGTTCTAGCACTGCCAAAGAATGTTCTAAAACTAAAAATAGCTGTAGACTGTTAACCCCCTCATTAAACAATCATTATCCAAGTATCTTATTAGCTCCCCTTTAATACGACATCTGATAGGAATCGGAGTACTAACTCTAAGAATAGTAATACTTCCTTTTCTAATAATTAAATAGTTCACTTAAACACCACACTCTTACCTTTAATTTATGTCATATAAAGAAACCTCAAAACTAGCAAAAGAGCTTGGCTTTTACGTAACTGAATTTTGGGACACAGCAAAAAGCCCCATCATCCAGCAAAACTGGTGCATAACCAACCTTAATCACAACCTACAACTTCTACTTTCACCCAGTATTTACTGTCAGTTTTCAACAAAGGACTACATAATCTCATCTACATAATTACATAGTTGCTACTCAACTATTTTCTGATCAATTTTAAATATCTATTTTAGCCAATTTTAGGGAAATCAAATGTAATTATTCCCATGTATTAAAATCAACAACTGGCACAAAATTACCTCTAAATTTCTACTGCATTAAATGGGAAACTTACATAAATTCAATTGATTATTAAAATTGACTTTCATTCTTAAGGTTGCTTATAAAAGTGCCTATATAACTTGGTAACAGTTATTGTAATAGCTGCAGTAAATGTACTGTACAAAACCACATACACAAGCACAAAAACACACCCCCCCTCAAAACCTCCCTGGATGTCAACAAAGCATCATTTTTCGTTTGGATTGCCAAAAGTCCTATAGTGTGGTTTAATTTCCTCTCTTCCCCCTCCACAATTTAATACCATACCAAATAAAAGCCTGGGGAGCTGCTCCTACATCAGTTTACTTGATTGTGGACAGAGGCCAAAATTCTGGTGCAGGATTGGCGTGCACAATTTTGGCACCCAGCTACCACCAAAACAGTAGTGACAAAGTAAAATACTGTACTGTTGCAGAATGCAAAATTTACACACCCACCAACACTTCCTCTTCCAAACAAGCAAAAAAAAAAAAAAAAAAAATCCCAACTTGGACAGGGGAGGTCTTCCACACATACACAAAACAAGAGTAAGGTGAAAAAATCTAGTCATTTTCATGTACATGAGCTGACTGTAAATGTAATTTAACCAACACAATTTGTTTTATATAAAACTTCCATTTTGTGCTTTTTGAAGATAAATATCAAACAGTATTCTCATCTGAGATTTTGAGTAGCATCTAACAGTATTTTAACATTTTTTAAAGACTTAAGCAATTAGTAAAGTATGACATTGTAATTTACATTCAAGAAATATTTCAGAGTTTACACTACCTGCCAAAATAAATTTTACTCTATTTTTTTGGTCAAAGAAACTATCCCAACACATGACCTTACTGGTCTACCAGCTTGAGGAACAAAAGGGGTATTTATTTATTTTTTTTTTAAAGATTTTATTTATTTATTTATTTATTTGAGAGAGAGAAAGAGAAACAGCATGAGAGGGGAAAGGGTCAGGGGGAGAAGCAGGCTCCCCGCTGAGCCAGGAGCCCGATGTGGGACTCGATCCCAGGATTCCGGGACCATGACCTGAGCTGAAGGCAGTCGCTTAACCAACTGAGCCACCCAGGCACCCCAAAAGGGATATTTAAGCAAACCAAGGTAGAGGAACATTTAGTTTACAGCTATATTGAGATCACAGATATTTTTAGTTAAAATGTGGTTTTCTGGCCGAAAAGAACATCTCTGTCTTCCTTCAAATTTTTTCAAAGAAAAAAGCCATTTCCAAGTCTTACTCTTTCCTAGACTCCAGCAGCTTTGGTCCTCATAACTGGCTATAAAGAATATATGAAATACCTATGTTTTCCTAAGTTAATTTCTGTTAATCCTTTTGGAGGATCATTATGAGCCCACTATTCTGACCCCAGTATACTTGAGCCATGAAGACACGAATGGATTTTCATTATGCATTTCTGGAGATTTCACTAAGCCAGGTTTATTCCTGGTTCAACTTTTTAAGCAATGCAGTAAAAGTTTTCCAAATGTTTTCCATTTCACTTTGTCTTGATATTATGTCATGTATAGTTCATATGCTTTCCCTGGTTAGATTACATACAAGGATTTGATTCATCAACCTACTTTTTGTAGGTATCAAATTTTACTCTGCCACTGTGAGATTTCTTTTGTGGTCATTATTTTTCCGAACAGAACTTTCCTAAGTCTTATTTTGTGTAGAATATTGGTTCTCCCTAGTTCTTAAGTCCAGAACAGATTAGGCCATGTGCAGTTTTACCTGTTTGCTTTATCCTGAATCATTTGTATCCAGACCATCAGGAGTTGAAAAAAGGACAGATAGCTTGTATTTACTTCTTAGCTAAGTCACAACTGTCAGAAATGTAGCAAGAGGGAGAAACATGAAGGGGTAGAGAAGGGGGTAGTTACTAGGCGCGAATAGAGAGGGCCACAGAAGAGTATGAAGAAAAAACATCATCAGGTCTAAACATCCTGCTCGGTTCAATCTTTTTCTATGTCGGCACTATATTGGACTCCACAGCTGCCTCAAAATAAAAGAATTCTCTGCAATTCATGACTGAATTCATGAACGATTTCCTTTATGACGGGGCAGTGGGGTGAGAGGGGGCTGCTGAAGCCCCTAACTGATCGAGGAGTTCCCCCAGAGGGCATCACGGCAATCTGAAGAGCTTTGGGCCAAGAGCAGTTTTGGAGAGACGGTGCAGCTTTCCCAAAATTGCATGGAGAGCAAAGATGTCTATTCCTGGGACCTCTCCTTAGGATAAGAAGGCACTTCGGTTTTTTGGAATAACTGGATTATACAAGCATGCCTTCGACTATGTGGTTAGGCAATTTCAGAAAATAAGCAGTTGCCAAAACACTAAGAATTACGCATAGACGGATCGAGTAGTGGTGAGCGAGGGGCATGCTGCGGGTTAGGGGTGCACAAACAGATTTCAGTGGCAATTTTTGTTTCTTCGTTCCTTAAGTTCGTATACTCGTGGTGGTCTTAGGCTCTATGAATTCTGGCAGGGAAAATACTGTACAAATTTTTCAGAGAGGAACTAAGCACCAGGCAGCCCAGCG